GGACATTCAACAACCTGAGACGTGTTTATTCATGAAAACCACCGGACTTCAGGTGGGAACAGCACAAGTCTGTGACTTCTCCAGCCAGGGCCCTCATCTCTCCTCCCCCCAGCTCTGTCAATTCAGACGTTGACAAGCCTGGGGCAGGTCTTGAAAACTAGCATACTCACTGTCGCTGCTGGCAGGGACTCAGAGGATTCAGAGCGTCCTCAGTGACAGCAGCAAGCCCAGAGGCAGGCGAGCAGCACGGAGGGCCAGAGGCCTGCAGCCATGAGGCTGCTGCTCTACCTGGGACAAGCAAGGGACCGGCGCACCAGCTGGAGACTCAACAGGGAGGCCTTGAAAGCGAGACGGCTGTAGGGAGCTTAAAAAGCTCTTCACGCATCCCAGGTGGACGAGAGGCTCTGAGCATGCGCAGCAGACAGCAGTGTAGGCCCACACCATCCACGCACACCTGGTCATTAGAGCCGACGCGTGCACACACGGAGAAGCTGTAAAGGGAGACCAGGGCAAAGTACAGCTGGGGCGCACTCGCAAATAGCTTGCAGTGCCCTGTGCTCCACAGTCCAACAGGTCCTGAGCAGAGAAGGGAGCCCTACCCGCTCGAGGTGTCTGACTACAACCACTGACCAATCTTTGCTGAACGCTATGCTATGCAGACACAGGGGCAAGCTCTCTAGGAAACCAGGCTTAAAAATAAAAACTAATCAAAACGGAAGTACAGAGACATCCAGAGTCAGACACAGCCGGAGAGTCAGACTTGAGATTTAGTCCAGTCCAGTTACTTAAACAAATGAGCAAATAAAACAATCACCATCCACTTGAGTTAAAAATGTAAAGAATCCAGACCTGCATCAATGTATGACCCAAAATATAGGGCAGTCAACAAAAACTCACAAGACAGCAAAGAAAAAAACCAGGACCCATAGTCGGGGGGGAAAAAAAAATTCCAGCAGTCAATGGAAATGGTCTCTGAGTATTCCCAGATGGGGGATTTAGCAGATGAAGACTTCAAAACAGTTGCTATAAATAAGTTAAAAGAACTAATAAAGCCAAGTTGAAAGAACTAAAGGACCATGTGAGGAAACTGACTCAACGAAGAGAGAACATAAAGAGACAGGAAATATAAAACAAAATGGAATTTAGTTGTTACAGCAACTAAAATTAAAATTCACTAGAGAGGCTCGGCAGCAGATTTCAGATGGCAGAAGAAGAGAAGAATCAGTGAACTTGATGTCAGGTTAACAGAAATTATCGAGTCTGAAGAACAGAGGGAAAAAAGATTGAGGAAAACTGAACAGACTGAACAGAGAGGCCTCAGAGTATAGGATACCCCCAAGTGTGCACAGAAGGAAATAGAGAAAAAGTAGGAGAAAAAAAAATATAGGAAAAAGTAATGACTTTCTGCAAACTAGGAACAGAGGGAAACTTCCTCAACTGGATAAAGAACACCTTCTTGAAGGCAGAGGAGTCTTTGAAAAATGTCAGTCAGACCGTGGTGCACCCTCGGCATAAAGCTTCCCACTGAGGAATGAAATCCAAAGGTGTCACTGTGGCCTCAGTGTCCAGTGTGACCTGGCCCCTGCCTGCTTTTCCAGCTTTATCTCCCACCACACCCCCGACACTCGCTACCCCTAACAATGCTTTCACCACACTAGCTTTCTTTTATTATTATTATTATACTTTAAGTTCTAGGGTACATGTGCATAACGTGCAGGTTCAGTGACAGACTGGATTAAGAAAATGTGGCAATATACACCATGGAATACTATGCAGCCATAAAAAAGGATGAGTTTGTGTCCTTTGTAGGGACATGGATGCAGCAGGAAACCGTCGTTCTCAGCAAACTATCGCAAGAACAGAAAACCAAACACCGCATGTTCTCACTCATAGGTGGGAACTGAACAATGAGATCACTTGGACTCGGGAAGGGGAACATCATACACTGGGGCCTATCATGGGGAGGGGGGAGGAGGGAGGGATTGCATTGGGAGTTATACCTGATGTAAATGACGAGTTGATGGGTGCAGCACAGCAACATGGCACAAGTATACATATGTCGCCACACTAGCTTTCTTTTACACTCCCCTAACGTGCCACACTCACTCTGGCCTCAGGACTTTTGTACTTGCCGTGATACTGCCGGGACCCCTCTTCACTGCAACTGTCTGGCTCCTTATGATTTAGGTCTCAGTTCAACTGTTACCTCCTCAGAGAGGCATTCTCTGAGCACTGGCATCTAAACAGCCGTCATTCCCACCTCAGTCACTCGCCATCGCCTCAGCTTGTTTGGTTGTCAGTATTCCTCCCTCTCTGAAATAACTCAGTCTGCCCAGTTGCTCAACTATGACTGTGTAATGTCCCCGCACTGAGCCTCTCTGTAAGTAGCCTCTATATAGCAAGGACATTACCTATCTTGTTTACCATGAAATTGCCAGTGCCTAGTGGATCGCCACCTAGTACATGCTCAATAAACACTAAGTGAATGAATAAATGAGCTGAAGAGAGAAAAAGCAGCAATATGAAGAAAGCTACTTAAGATCAAAATCACTATGCTGGCCTATGTAAAAAGTGTAAAAGCACTATGTAAGCAGTCGCTTACATCTGTAATCCCAGCAGCTGGGGAGGCCGAGGCGGGTGGACTGCTTGAACTCAGGAGTTTGAGACCAGCCTGAGCAACATGGCAAAACCCTGTATCTACAAACAATACAAAAATTAGCCATTCAGCCTGGGCAACATAGCATGGCCCCATCTCTACCCTTCAAAAAATACAAAACGTAGCAGGGTACGGTGGCATGCACCTGTGGTCCCAGCTACTTGGGAAACTGAAGTGGGAGGACTGCTTGAGCTCAGGAGCCCGAGGTTGCAGTGAGCAGTGATCATACCACTGTCCTCCAGCTTGGGCAACAGAGCGAGACCCTGTCTTAAAAAAAAAAAAAAATTGCCAGGCATGGTGGCAGGTACCTGTAGTCCCAGCTAGTTGGGAGGCTAAGGTGGGAGGATGGCTTGAACCCAGGAGGTAGAGGTTGCAGTGAACCATGATTACACCACTGCACTATAGCCTGGGCAACACAGCCAGATCCTGTCTCAATTAAAAAAAAAAAAAAGTATTATGCCAATAAAACACTAATATCCTGTAACTAGGATTAGCAAATTGCCCTCAGGATCAAATCTGTTACTGCAGTAGTTTATGTGCTGAGACCAATAAGGTCATTGTTCACTTACGCCTCCACAGCTGAGCAAATAGGCTTCTGGAGAGTACCCCGGAGGCACAACTCACCTGTGGGAACAAACATCCCTTAAGGCAGGTGACAGGAGGACCTCCGGAGTGCTGCATTTCTACCTGATCGTTAACCCTCGCTTTCTGATAAGGAAACCCAAGTTACTTACGTTGATTCCAAGAAGCTCCCCTGAGAAGAGGGTTTACTGAGCTTCTAGATCTGATCAGCACACTGAAAGATCACCTTTCATTACTGCCCCAGCAAAACGCTTGCCCCCACCTCCGGAAATGCTTGCCCTCCCCGCGTTTTAAGCACAGATTGCAATGCTGCGCAGATTTCACAGGTGTGATTAATTCATTGGCTCGTGGACTCTCTCAGGTGCGGAGGTTCATAATGATCTTGAATGATGGTTCTAAATAGCAGGGAGCTTCATCCCCCGGCATACCTAAGCGAGTTCAGCAGCTGCATCCAGGCTCCTTGTTCCACCTGATCGTGGCCAGTTGTTCTCTACCACCACCTCTCACTTCATGAACAGGGTGACTGCATGCTATCTTTGCCTAGGATGGTTCCAACTGACAACTGTCACCCCAGCACGACTGTCAACAGTACTCCCTTTACTCTCAAGTGCCCTGCTCTGGACAGTAAATCATATGATCACCCTAGCTACAGAGGAGATAACTATTATCCATTTTAAAAGTATCTATAGTGGAACAATTGATTAGGTGATTGTGGAGTAGTCCGAACTTAATGAAAATCAACTAACAGTAAAATTCCCATTATTGAACACAAAGACCTCAGTGTGCCCAAACCCTGAAAATGAGAAAACCAATGCAGACGTTGAACAGATTTATAAAAATAATAACACAGAGGTTTTGATATGGTGCCCTAAATGCTATCCACCATGTATGTAGGCACAAAAAAGCTACTTCTACTCTTTTATGTCATGACCTAAACCCTAAAAGTTAAGCTTTTGAGTGAAGAAGAATGAAAATTCTAGACAATAGCCAGTTTGGATGAATTTGGACGAGAATCTTGCTAGGAACTAGAGAACGGAATGGTGTAAGAAGTGGCTTCAGAGTGACATCAGCAAAAATGGTAGAGGAGGGACTACCGACGTGTGTCCCTCCCCAGAAGTATCAAACTGACGTGAGTTTTTTGATTTTTGATTTTTATTTTTA